ATTACGTCGACTTCCTTGTACCAATGCCGCTGTGACTAAGACAGAGAGGTGGAAGTGCAAAGGAATGCAATCAGTATATGACCAGTGCCGCTGTTAAGTTGAACTGTGGGGATGAGAGTGAGAGCAGGGGAGAGCATCATGCGGGTGGATTACCTTGAATTGGGCGGGTGGATTGCATCACGTGAAGAATAGTGAGAGCAGGGGAGATCAAGAACCGTTGAGCAAGAAGACGTGGAAGAAACCATCGAACTCAGAACAAATCAAAAATTGCAGAAGAGAAACGAGAACCGCAGAGGAAGCAAGAAGACGCGGATCACAGCTCTGATACCATGATACAAAAGAGTAAAGAAGATATATGGGAAAATAATATTTCTTGATGATCTGAATTCAACAGGTTACAACCTATTTATAATAAGGCTAAAGATACAACCAGAGAACAGGTCGGCAACCTAAATTGGAATACAACAAGGAAAGAAAAATATGTACAACTAGTTGGAGTGGAACTATATCTCCTAGAATTAAGGAGATAAAGATACAATCATAAATCTGATGGAATACGCTAACATCATCGGCTGTAAAATGTCCATCGTATACAAAGGAACTCTGGAAGGTCGAGAGGTTGCTATGAAGACTGGTCAGGGGCTTAAGTTCATGGGTGACATAGTGGATTTTCTCTTGAACCAGGTAACAACCAAACTCCAGTTCAGCCACAAGAATGTAGTGAAACTTTTCAATTGTTGCTTAGAGATCGAAATTCCGATGCTCGTCCATGAGTTCATGCCCAATGGTACTCTTTATGACAATCTCCATGGCAACAACACCGCTGAGAAGGTTTAGGTTTCTAACTCAAAGAGATAAAAGAGAAGAAAGGCTTGAAAATTTTTTATTTTCAAGACTAAGAGACTGGCAATTCCGAATAAACTTTCAATTGAAACTTTATTCGATTTAAAAAAAATAATATATATAATATAATATTATATAAATATATATTATTGTATATATATCGGTCGGTTCGATTAACCGTCGATTTTTTTTTTAAATGGTTAACCGAAACCGAACCAACCAATTCGATTTTAATTGACGATCAATTTGGGTTTTTGTTTTTTTTTTTTTTTTTGCACACTCCTAGGGAATGACCATTCCCCGAAATGGGAATGAGATTTTGATTTAAGACCCCTATTTCCATGTAGCAAATGGGCTCTTAGTTTTTCTAATCTTCTTTTAACCTCGGTATAACGTTGAGTACAATTTTTGAGAGGTTCAGAGATTGGTCCGACTAATCCATCTGTTCCGATTAGTCATTACCAGCAACCTTCCCCACTTTTAGGCTTTTTATGCCTTCTATTTTGCCTGCGTTTGTCTGGTTTCACATTCCATCAGTTGTCCCGATGGTTCATTTGATACATCGATGATCCAAACGGTTTTAACATTGGAGAATTGAACCATCTTTGAGTATGCATTGGTCCGGGAATTGGACTGGTTGTTTGTTCTGATATAATTTCGGACCTGAACGTCAAATGGCAGTTTGACCAAGATCTGGGTTGTGGGTCAGTGTTTGGACTTTTTTTTTTTTTTAATTGTTGACGTGCTACGGACTGATCCATCGACCTAGATGGTCAAATCGCTGATCCAGAGGTAAAATCACTTCAGCGTTCAGCGTGTAGGTCGGTTTTTAAAAGAAATTAAGAAACCGATTAGAAGGGACAGAGCGTAATTAGGTGTGGCCACGACTCACGAGTTCTTCGAGTTTGACTTGTGAAACGTTTGATTTGGTTCAGTCTAAATCAAGTTTTGAGCTAAATTCGAATCTAATATACAGGTTTGTTTGTTAATTAAACTGAGCTCGAATCGAAAAAGGTTTTTGAATATATATATATATATATATATAAAATAATAAATATAAAAAATTATATATAAAATGTTTAGCTTATAATCGAATTCAAACGGATCCGAATTCGAAATTACTTGCTTTTAACTCAAATTGAATTCGAGTTCAAATTTCTAATTTGAATCAAACTTGAAACTAATGATTTATTGGTAAACCGAAGTCGAATGACTAGATATTTGATTCGGCTTGGCTCAAATTCACTCGTAAACATAATCAACTATTTTTTTTTAATTTTTTATTATTGTAGTGAAAGGGAGATAATCAAAGCTCGGCTTTTAGGTTAGGTATATGTTCGTAGACAGGCATGGCCCACATTGGATTGATGAACACTAATCTCAGGTGAGCAATACCTGTAGAGTCAGACATTTATTTGGACCTATTTTGATCAATGATTTGAATTCTATAATATAACAAGGCATTCATTCATACATTGGTCTAAGAAAGAGTAAAACCAATATTCTCCGATGTTGATGTTGTACTAATTGTCTAATTGTCTGGCCTTCTCCGATCTTGCAAGCTTTTCTTGGAGAAACGGGAAGTTTCGAGGTTACACTTAAAACCATCCAACCTAAAGTAACAAACAGACAAAGGAAAACAGTGAACTCCACGAAATTCACTGTTTGGGGCCTGAAAACGAGTAGAATTCACGAGTCAACTGGCCGACTTATCTAATGTCTCGTCGTTATTTGGACTCTTTTCATTTTTGTTAATCCTGTTACTTACAGTCAAACTCGAATGACGGGTAAACGGCCACCCTACCTTTGAATTTCTGTCCCCAATCAAACCACCGCCCTACTCCTTGGAAATTCCACATGAAATTTGATATCTTTTTCCTTTTCGCGGTTTGTTTGGTGCATCCTATGACTCCAATAGTCATTGTTGAATTAATTGTAGAGATTTTAGCAAGGTTTTTAAAATCGAATGGGACAACAAACTGTTGTTGTTTTTTAGGTCAAACAGTCCAATCTTTCGAATCAAATGGATGGTTCGTTTTGACAAAAAAAATAAAAAATGGTTAAAAATCGTTATTCGGGTTGACGGTTCCAACGATTCAATCACCCAGATCAGTGGTTTACTAACCAAATCAACAATTTTTGGCCAAAAAACGGTTCTGGGTGAAACAGAACTGACCGGTTCCTAGTTTTTCCCGTCTGATCTGATTTTGAAAACATTGAATTTTAGCATGTATTTGCAGGGAGACCTGGCAATTGGGTTGGGTGGTTTGGGTTCAGGTTGGGTTGAATTTTGGGTTGTGTTGTCAAATGCTAGACCCTAACCCTAAATGTCCGAGTTAGGGTTGACCCATGGGTCAATTCAGGTTATCCCAAAAAATAACTATAATTAAAAAAAAGAAAAACTATATAAAAAATGCCAAAATTAAAAGAATTAACTTTAAAATTCCAAATATAAAATTAAATAAAAACTTGAACATTTAACAATTTAAAGAGTAAAGACTAAATAGAAGAAACTAAAAGAGTGAGAATTTCTAGCAATGCATAAATGATCCCAATTATACTTGACAATCGGATCAACGGGTTGACCCATAACCCAACCCAACCCATTTTTTTCATGTTAGATCGGGTTGGGTCATTCTCACATTCAAATAGCTAAACATAAGACCCTAATCCTATTTTGGATTGGGTCATTTTTTTGCCAGGTCTAGCAGGGGTCGTGACTTTGTTGTCAGAGGTGAGGGGAAGTCAGTTCACTTCAAAGAAAATAAGAGAAAATTCAAAATTATACTTGACCCAACCGCCTCTAGAGAACACCTAGTTGGATAGATAAAAGAATTTTGGACATACATAAATTGATTAATTAACTAATACTAAACAAATAGAGATGATGATAAAGAATAAGAACCGAACAACTTGCTTGCTTTAGTCATTTTCAATTGATCAGGAAAAATGAAAGGTTTATTTGGATAAGCTCTTACTTTTGAGCTTTTGGGCTGTCAAAAACATAATTAAGCAAAAAAGTGTTTTTGGCATTTGGTAAAAGTTGTTTTTGAAAAGTATTACTTTGGTGCCAAAATGATTTTTCTTTAAGGATATCTCCTTTATTTTTTGAAATGTGATTTTATAAAACCTAATTTTAGGGTTCAACTATGACATCAGAAAAACTTGTAATTAATCAGTTGGTATTTATCAAAATTCACAAGGGGGGGTTTGATGGATCCATTGCAGTGTCATGTCTTAAATTTTGGAAGAAAGGGCCTATTTGTTTGCTATGAACTCTGACATCTGAAAATGCAATAATTACATTAAAAGGTATACTAGTATTAGTGAACTTTTAATACTAGTATACCTTTTAATTACATTTAAGACATGACATTGCAGTGTCATGTCTTAAATTTTGGAAGAAAGGGTCTATTTGTTTGCTATGAACTCTGACATCTGAAAATGCAATAATTACATTAAAAAGGTATACTAGAATTAGTGAACTTTTCTTTCTTTGAACTCTAAATGCAAAGAATATTGTTCTGAATTTTAAATTCTGAAAACTATCAAATATCCATTTTGATTTCATATACGAGAGTTTTTGTTTATCTTTTTAGGGTATCATTGAAAAACAAAAAATTGTATGATTGCACTTTAATACATAAGAGATAAGAAGAAATTAACAACCATTTTTCTCAGAGTTAAAAGATTTCTTAAAAGATAAGAATTAAGAGAAAATGAATATGTCTTACCGTTCAACCCACCTTAAAATTATGAATCCCACCTCACAGGTGTAATGAATACCGACTATGGATTGATGCCAAATCTACGAGCAGGATAAGTTTATAAGGGTTACTATTAAAGTATGGGGGACGTGGGGTGCATTTTACTTCTCCGTCTTTCTCCGTAAACTATTTGGGTTTGAAAATAAAAACCATTATTTTCCTTTGTTTCGCAAATTACCGGACTTAATAATTCTCGGCTCCTCCGACCTGAAAAAAGTGAAAAGTAGGCCGTTGAACCCGTAAGGAGCCATGAAGTCAGAGGCGGCTGGAGTTCCAGCCGTTCATCTCGGTCTAACGCGGTGTCGCGCGCTTTCCTACTACTTTCCAAGCTGCTACCAGTCTTCCATGAACGATCCTTCTTGTATATTAAAACTGAATTCTCATCCCACTTCTTTCTCTCAGAGCAGAGAAGAAGAAGAAGAAGAAGAAGAAGAAAGAAGCATTATATAGAAATGCAAGGAGCTGCTGCTACTGATTCAGGGATGGCCAACGGTTCTCAGAGCACCAACATCGGTTACTCTTCCGATTTTCCGGCCTTCCCGACGCATGATGGCCGCTTCATCCAGTACAACATCTTTGGAAATCTGTTCGAGATCACCGCCAAGTATCGCCCCCCGATAATGCCCATAGGACGAGGCGCTTACGGAATCGTCTGGTAATTAATTATACGGCCCCGATCCCTTGGAATCTTCTGATATTTGAAAACAAAAAACAAGAGAGAAGTCTGTTGCTGTAGGCTTCGGATTCTCCAGACGACTTTTAGTCGATATTCTTATGCGGTTCTTCCTCTGTTGTTGTGTAACTTTAGTTCGGTAATGAATTCGGAGACCAACGAAATGGTTGCCATCAAGAAGATAGCTAATGCTTTTGACAATCACATGGACGCCAAACGCACGCTTCGTGAGATTAAGCTTCTTCGGCACTTGGATCACGAGAATGTATGTGGACTTACTGAACAACTTTTCTTGCTCCTTTACCCAAATTTACTGTTTTCAGAATCTGCTCTGTTATTTCTTTATGTAAATTTGCATCATCAGTTGATTTGTGTTTGTCTTTTTCTTTTTACTACTTGAACTTCATCTTACTGAGAAAAGAAAAAAAAAACGGTTGCTTTGGTTCTGATGAACAGTTCGTTACCCACTTTATACGAAGTAAATCTTCTCAAGACGTATATACATTTGTTGATAGATAGCTCTGAGTGGTAGTTTTCCTATGCTTGGTGATCCCGGCCCAAAATAACAGTTTCTAAGAAATGGAGCATTTTTTTTACCAATAACTAAGAAATGGAGCTTACAGCTATTTCGCAAACAAGTAGGTTAGGGGTGGGTTAAAGTACTTTAGGCATTTAGTTGCCCTCGTTTTTGATATCCATATTTTAGGGGTGAATCTATTTCATTCTCTGAATCTAAATTTCAATGGAATGGCTCAAAGCCGATGAACTGTACAGATATGACCAAGGTTGTTGCTTATTTGTTTTGTCTATTTGTATCTATTATATTTAGCTTCTTATGTTTGAACTCTTGTTTTAGTTTAGTTGCATTTCTTTTAGAAATATTGAAATCCCATTTTTATCGTTCTTTAAATAAATTATTGTCACTGTAAAGAGTTTCCCACCGTAATAATGCTTTCAAGTTTTGGTCTACAACAGTCTCTTGGACTTGTCTTCTTCCTTCTATTTATGAAGTTCTAAACTTCTAATAGGTAGGATGATTTGGAATGGTCTAGCTTTCTATACTAAACAAACTAAACAATTAGATTAGTGGCTTCTCAAGCGTAAACACTGTCACCCTTGCAAATATTGGCTAGGTATAGGGCATAAAGTACATGTTACCAGAAAAAAAAGTGAAGTATACAAGTAATTGATATTGATTCTGGTTTTCATAACAATTTAGCAGTTAGCAGTGACAATGCTCATGTCAGGTCTCATCCTAGTTGAATCTGTCGTTTGTGAAACAGGTAATAGCCATAAGAGATGTAATTCCACCACCTATACCAAGAGCATTTTCTGATGTCTATATTGCTACTGAACTCATGGACACCGATCTCCACCAAATAATCCGCTCAAATCAAGAATTATCGGAGGAGCACTGTCAGGTAAAATTGTTTGGTCATTCACCCCTTGAGGCAATCATTCAACACTTTCATATAAAAGCTTGAGTTTATCTATAACTGATTTAGACTCATAATTGGGCCGCTCTGCAGTATTTCTTGTACCAAATCCTTCGTGGGCTGAAGTACATACATTCTGCAAGTGTCATTCATAGAGATTTGAAGCCGAGCAACCTCTTGCTGAATGCAAATTGCGACCTGAAGATATGTGATTTTGGTCTTGCTCGACCAACTTCAGAGAATGAGTTTATGACAGAATATGTTGTTACCAGATGGTACAGGGCACCAGAATTGTTATTAAACTCTTCTGACTACACTGCTGCAATTGATGTGTGGTCAGTGGGTTGCATATTTATGGAGCTAATGAATAGGAAGCCATTATTTCCGGGTAGAGATCATATGCACCAGATGCGTCTGTTGACAGAGGTATGATGATATTCCGATAAAATATAGCTTACAATTTGGAGATTCTAATCATCTACTACTAAATCTGAACAACTTTTGGGTTTAGTTTTGACTCATATATATATATATATATATATATATGATTTCTGTAGGCATAATAAAATTAAAGCTTTATTATCTCTCTCAGATCAGAAATGTCATAAATAAATTATTGCCCACATTCAGCATTTATTCATGTTCTAGCTTCTTATCTGAGATCCTTGGTTAGACATTTGGAAATGATGTGCCATTTCGTTGTGCCAAGCTTTGACTGTTTCAATGGATGGCTTCCTCTGTTTAAACAGGATAAGAATAATGATAACCATGAAGTAACCTTTACATGGTGGTTTCATGGTTTGATGTATCTTTGACATATGAATGAAGTTGCATCTTCAAATTATGAGCAATGCTCATCAACAGATGGATGCTTACCCATGTTTATCTACTTTTCAGCTTCTTGGTACGCCCACAGAAGCAGAACTTGGGTTTGTCAAGAATGAAGATGCAAGAAGGTTCATCCGACAACTTCCTCCACATCCTCGCCAGCCATTTTCCAAGATGTTTCCACATGTTCATCCAGATGCAATTGATCTCATTGAGAGAATGTTGACATTCAATCCCACCAAAAGAATCACTGGTAATTTTCATCTTCTATATATTTATTTGATTATCAAATCTTCATTTCTGGTACAAGTAATGAGAACTTGATTGATAAGACTACATTAAGTAGGAAATGTGACGTGCAAGGGAAGAGACATATTGATTGCAAAATATACAATTTGGCACAATTGGGTTCCATTAATGACATAAAGGTTGGGGGGGGGGGGGGGGGAGAGACAATAATCTTAAGCCAATATCAACTACACCACAGTGGATTCTTGATCCTGGAATCATGGATTGGGATGGGATGCATGGGAAACTATTTTAATCATGTAAATATGACATGATAAATTTTGTAGTGATCACTGTTATCCTCAATTATCAATCATGATCATAGTGACTGTTTATAGATCATGTTTCAGACTTATAGAACTTGAAAGCTTTATCATTATTTAAGCCTTTTCCCAAGTATTTGGTGTCACAATCCTCTTTTTTTGTTCAACTGTAAGGTATTCCATGTTTTTCTACAGTGGTTCTGCTTATTCATTCCATGCCATAGAATCCAATACTAATCACTATACAGACTAGAAGACATCATTTTGTACTTTTTGGGCCCTTTGGTATCAACATGTTGTGGCTTAGTTGAGACCATGTCATATGCTTGGAAACAGAACCATAACCAAGTTAAGAGTATTGATTTCGAAGCACGTTATTAATACAAGGTATTCTTGTTTCTATAGATTTAGCTTCAAAGTGGTACTTCAGGGAGGAAATTCTCCAATAGTATGTGGTGTACAATATGTATCGTGTGTTTTACACCATGAGGCTGTGCACCATGAATAGGACTTTATCCTGAGAAGCTGATGTTCATCTGAGTCATGAGCATTAAAACCGACATAACAATGTTGAGTAGGATGGCTTTATACATAGTATCACACCATATCTGAGAATATAACAAATTGGCATATTAAATTTTTTTTTTCCTGTAACAGTTTCTTCTTTAAATGTACATTTCTAGTAACTTAATGTCATTTTTTCTACACGTACAGTTGAAGAAGCACTTGCTCATCCTTACCTTGCGAGATTGCATGATATAGCTGATGAGCCTGTTTGCCCTGAGCCTTTCTCCTTTGAGTTTGAGAAGCAGGCCTTAGTGGAAGAGCAAATGAAGGAGATGATATACAGAGAGGCCATAGAATTCAATCCAGAGTATGCCATTTGGTAACTCTGTTGACTTGGTACTACAGACTCTGCAAGGGAAATGGCTCCCCTTGAAGGTATTCAAGATTGATTATTCTATATTTTCATGAGAGGTCAATTGTTTTACTTGGGCCTTATTGTTTCCCCAAGGCAATGTTCTGTGTTCTGATGTGTATAGAAAATGAGTAAAGTTCAGAATACGAGGGTTGATATGTTGTGTAACTCAGGATTCAAGAGCATTTGTAATGAGAATGTGTAGTGTGGAATAAATCACTTATTCTTTTGTTTATTATACTCAAGTTGTAGTTGCTTTTCTTTCTCTCTGCTAAACTATTTTCAAGGAGAGAAAAATGTGCAGCAGTACATTTTAATGAAATCTTATTCTTCACAGCAGCTGGCCATCTCATTCCACTGCTAAGCTTATCCAATTTATTACTAGTAGCTTAATAGTCTTTTAGGCAGTACTGCTTAGGGATGTCAATGGGTCTGGTTTAACAGTAAACCTGGCTTGACCTGACCCAATAAGGTCCAGTTAGGATCAGGTCTATTCAGGTGTAAGGTTGGGTTAGGGTTTTGATTCTTTAACCCGAATCGGGTTTGGGTTTTGGCTGACCCACTTTTGTTGGGTCATGATACCCCTACATATATAGGGTATTCTTGTAATTTGCTAACTTCTAACTCCATAGCCTTAAAGTTTAGGATTTCTTTTCATGTTTATTTTGGTTTTTATTCTTTTACTAATGGAGAAAGTGATACCTTAGAACCTATAAACCAAATTCCAATTTAAATTGATAGTTTTTAGGTTTTCAAAATGTGTTATAGGAAACACGGTTGAAAGGCTGTGGGTTGGATTGATATCGGGTTGAATCCTATGGGATCAGGGTCAGGGTCGGGTTCGGAAATTTCATGTTACTGAGTTGGGTTGGGTTCAAGTGGGAACATTGGAGGCCCAATTTAAGGTCCAAACCTGACTTGTTGGCATCCCTAGTAATACTAGATTTTTATTATCATCTTTTTTCTTCTTTACGCTTTTGTAGAGTGGAGATTTGATCTACCATATAGCTAATCCTCAGCTGACCACCCTAAAACTTGAACGAAATTAAAGAAAAAGTGAAGAAGTATAAAAATGAAAGGAAAGAGATCCTGAGCTAGTATTGCACACTGTCCAACCCATTATACATAGCCTTAACTAGACGGTTAGGTTTGATGACAATTGACGAGTGCCGTTGGTGAAGATTTTTCACATTAGGCTGTTTTAATTCTACATCTGTTGTTTGTTTGCAACCATGATTTACACTCTTACTTGATACAGAATTTGTATTTTTTGTCTCATTTGCGCTCACTGAGGCTGTGTTTGGTTTGAAGGAAAAGGTAGGGAAATGAAGGGAAAGGCAGGAAAACCTATACAAGGCTTATAAAGGTTTCCTTACATTTCCCTTCCTTTCACAAACAAACAAGACAAGGTCAATCCAAAACCAGAATTTACACTCCCATGCATTTATACCAACGCAAACTAGTTTGAATTTGATAAATAAAATCTATATTGAGAGCTTAAATAATCAAATTATATGATAGAACGGGCTCCATCTATCAAGCGCCCAACTCCCACTATTGGCTTGACATGAATCCCCCTGAACTCCACTGAAGCACGTTCACATGTAGTTCCAAGCTTTCTAATGGCTTCCATTCGCCTATGTTTGGTTTGACTAAAAATAAGAAAAAAACAGAAAGTTGAGGAAAAGTTCTAAAAATATTTCTTTTAAGACCAACGGCTAGAGGAGAAGTTCTACAGAAATTTCTTTAAGACTTTGGTGTTTCCAAAGGAACTGGTTTTCAGAGGATGAAAGAACATACACGAAACTGTTCAATCTTCATGGCTAAGTTTCATTGCCATATACCGTGACAGAAATAAAATATGCACAGTAAAGCAAAGCTTAGTCTAGGAGTTAGGAGTCATGGTCCCAATAAGGAGAAATCAACTTACTTTATGTAAAAGCTAAAAGCTTGACACAGCTCAAAAAGGAAAAAAGCTACTAAGCACTTTGGTAAAGCCATACCTGCTTTAAACAATTCCAAAAAAAGGGCCGGTTTGTTGAAAGGGAGTCAGATTCTCACACAGCATAACACCATGAGCTGAACCAACATCGGTTGGTAATTGGTAGGATGCACATGGTACAGTTCTACAGCCTTTTATTATTTTATTTTCATTTGTGTGTTCAGGAGTGTGTGAAGACTGAAGATTATGTACTGCCTCTGAAGTTTGAACAAGTATGAACTCTTCTTTTGGTTGGATGCCCAGAATTATGTTTGTTAAGCAGATTATCCCAAGGCATTTAATGTGGGCAATTTTAATATAGATTGAGGAACCGTTTGATGATTAAGTGGTTTGAGAAATAAGTACTTATTGTATAATTACTTATTTGAATAAGTACTTTATTGTTGTTTGGTACCTCTTTTTCAAATCACTTATACTTGCTCTAAGTACTTATTAAGGTGGGGATTTTTGACGAGCCACTTAGCAAAATCTTCGGTTCACCGTATAAAAAAATACACTTTGTGAAATATAAATTAATTAAAGATAAATAGATTTTAATGTGATTAATTGCTATTAAGATTTAACGTACAGTTAATATTGATGAATTTAATATAATTGAACTCATCTTGAATTTTCATTTCAATTCTATGCTTGTTTTTGTTTTTTCTATACCAAAAAAATTGATGGTTTTCTAAATAGAGTTAGGAAATTGTGTATCTTTTCTAAAAAGAAAAAATTGTGTTTATCCGAATAAGGAAATAAGTTAATAAGTTATCAAGTTTCCTCTCTTTTTTTTTTTAATTTGTAATTAGAACAGTTTTAGCTAGCTTTGTTGGTTTATTGATGTGTTCATGGGTAAATGTATTTAATTTTATACAACTAGCTTGAAAGAATCTTACATTGTCTGCACAAAACCTAACATCGAAATATTGTCAACAGTCATCGGCCACTCGTTTCACTCTGTCTGGTCAACATTCAACAGAATGTGGAAGAAATCTCTCTGGCCATGACTTGGGTCATGGAGCCACAAAATGGGCAGGTTCGGTTGATCCAATAACCTAACTGGTCCATTAACTGTCTCATCTTTCGGACCTACGACAGGCCCATTCGGTTCTTAAATCTTAACCATGCATCCAATAAACCGGGCAGGGTTCGAGTTTGGATTGGTCTATGTAACGGATCCTATCCGTTTTATATCTCCCTTAAGATTTCATCTGTAGTCAGTAGTCTGTCCATGAGACCATGGCTGGCTAATGAGCTTTCCGGTTTTACGTCCGGTCTGGTTGGTTTGTCATTTCATCTGAATAAATGAATGAGGCATGTGAAAGTGAAAGTGGCTCACGTGCCAAAAGAAAATGGAAATAATACAAGTGGGGGGAAGCTCGAATAGTATATCCATATCAATTGATGACGTGGCTACCTACTAAAGAACTAAGAAGAGGTCAACTGGTCAAGGCTGGCACTGGCACTGGCACTGGCTTCAAACTTCAAACACTGATCTGTGTAGGCTTGGGTTGTGAGATCGGCTTCCATGTTCCATCAGGGCAAACCTGTGCCCACACCCTTCTAACACCCTTTTGCAATCTTACAAAAATACACAACTCAATGCAAGGCAGTAAAGGCTGCTCCAACGGGCTTTGCAAAAGGGTGTGGGCACAGGTTTGCCCTGAGGGAAGCCGATCTCGTGGGTTGTTCCGTTGTTGAATGTTCTTGACTATGGGCCCGTGGGCCTTTCACTTCCGAGAGGGGCCACTTGCCCCCTCACACGCTGAACATCTGAAAAGATCTTGGTGTAGGGCTCGGCTGTAAAGGATTCTGATCCAACGGTCTTTGCAGCTGTATGTACAAATCACCAATTCCATGGACCACATGGCATCACGATCCAATTGCAAACGTACGAGAGGTGACAGTGGGAGTGTGGGGAATCTTCAATCTTCTCTATCTCTGTCTCTCTCTCTCTCTTCACTCAGAAGCTTCAAAGTCGAATAACGTGGGCCCCATCTGTTCCCAGAAACTCCTTCCGAAGTCGACCTCTGATTCTCCCTAGCTCGTTCAGAGTTACACCTCCATCTTTCTCTCTCTCTCTCACTCTCTCTTCTCCACTCCTTACTCTGAGTCTCACACTCATCTGTAGCGGAAATGGAGACGAATTTTCTCCTCTTTCTTTCACTCTATTTGCTTCTTCTTATCAACGCGTCCAGAGCTCAAGTCCCTGGTAAGTCTCTGACGCGTGTAAGCTTCTCTTGTGATTCTGCTTTTCTGAACCTTTAACTCGAAGAACATGGTTTATTTATTCACTAAACTGAATGTATAAAGAACCATCTACGTTAGGATTTCGTTGATGTAAATTTAAGTTGTTTCAAAGGATGTACATTTTTTCGTTGCTGAATTCATGAGAATTGTTATCGCTGTTTTGTTTTGAATTTTCAGGATTACTCTGTTTTGGATGGGATTAGAAAAAATCCGATCGACTCGTACTTATTCTGAAGTTGATTTTAATATACGTGTTATCTTAATATTCTACGCTGAAGATTTTCATGCAACATGTAGCAACAACAGACAATTGAAAAACAGGAATTTTCTATTTTCAAATCCTATCCTGTTATATCTATCCTGAAAAGTCTACAAACTTGGTGCCTAAGCGCTATATTTCATAGAATCTTAGGGTGCTTTTTTTTTTTTTGTTTCTTTTGCTTCATGGGCTACACAACGGGGGTAGCCCATCCCCTTAACCCTCCCAGCCCTGGTGGCAGCGGGATTTGATCCTAGGTCTCTTCGACAAGGAGTCAAAGGTCCTACCAACTGTGAAATTGGAAGTTGTTTTCTTTCTATTTTAAAATTTTAAAATAATTCCGTGCTTTTCTTTAATGAGCATTCTGGTGGATCAGTTACCATAACTACTACTACTGGAATCATTAATAACTTAGTAGAAACAATAAACTGAAGGACTACAATAGATCTGAAATTAATTGTAGTTGCAGAGAATTCAGCAAGGCAATATCTAAAAGATAACATGGAATCAACTCTTAGATATGGAGGGAATCAAGAAGTTCATGACCTTTTTGTTAGTTTTGATACAACACCACCAAACAATAATCATTTCTTCCTTTAGTCAGCAATGCATAATGAACTTTTAACATAGATTGCACTGCATACAAACTCTCCTGCAGATCTGTAAACCATCCTGTTCCAATGTCATACATTTTTTGTAATTAGATGCAATTGATGCTTGATACAATACTAGACTTAATTTCTGGTGTTTTTGCTTAAAATTTTATGTCAGTAACTGTTGGCTAAAACAGAATTGATTATTCACCAGAATATTACTATAGACATTCTTTCATGATGTTTACTCAATTGGCATAAGCAACTTTTGTCTGGAGTTATTATCTCAGAATAAGAAATTGAGATGTTTGGAACTCCAAATGCACCGATATTGCTTGCTAATTAGTATGATTTATGAAGCAGGTTTTGTGAGCCTAGACTGTGGGGGCAAGGAGAATTTCACTGATGATATTGGGCTTAAATGGATCCCTGATAATCAATTTATTTATGGTGAAACAGCAAATATTTCTATTCCAAATGAAAACCGGAAGCAATATATGACACTGAGACACTTCCCTGCAGATAACAGAAAGTATTGTTATAAGCTTGATGTCTTGAGTAGGACTCGATATCTTATAAGGGCAACTTTCTTATATGGTAACTTTGACAATAATAATGTTTATCCAAAGTTTGACATCTCCTTTGGGGCCACTCATTGGTCAACAATTGTCATTTCTGATGCAAATACCACAGAGGTTCGAGAGTTGATATTCTTAGCTTCTTATCCAACAATTAGTATATGTTTATCCAATGCAACAACTGGACAGCCATTTATTTCCACTCTTGAGCTCCGGCAATTTAATGGTTCGGTTTACTATACAGAGTTGGAAAACCAATTCTTTCTCAGTGTATCTGCAAGAATAAACTTTGGTGCAGATAGTGATCTTCCAGTCAGGTATGCCTCAATCTGGTTGGAAATGATTTATAGCTCAACCTTTCATGTTGAGCCTCTTGTTTTCCTTATCCTTTCTTCAATCAATAACAAGCACATGTACTGGGAGAAAAGAAAAAGGTATTTGAAAGGGAAAGGACAAGAAAATTCAAAGAAACTGCTTAGATAAGCTGTAATGAAGAAAGCTTGTTGTCCATCTATACCTATAAGTGGTGACCTGGTCATTCTCCAACTTGTTTGGTAATCCTGCTACCCAAGAGAACATGAGTATTCACACTAGTTGCCAAAAACTCAAGTTACATGGACAAGCTTCCACAGCAACCTACCATGTTATTTGCTGACTGATGGCCTTGCTACAGTTTTTCTTTCTGTAAGCTGCTAAAATCCTCTTGAACGAAATTCTGGAATCAGGTTCATGAAGGGAAATACTGTCATTGATATAGGACACCCGAATTTAAATGCCCACTTGCTGGAGTTTAGAGTATGATAGCTAGGGGTTGAAATAAGCAGTTTTAAGGAATTTCATTGGCTAATAGTTGGGCTGTCAAACAAAAAGGCTTTCAACTTCATTTTAAATGGATGGATATGGACTGTTTTAATAATAGAAAATAAGTAGGAAGAAAATTCAGAAACTAGACAAACAATCTAGCTGAAATTAAGGTTTCAAGATAAAAGGCCATTACCCAATGTTAGTCATGGCTATCTGGGGTCTTGGGAGGGGTGGACTGGATGCAAACCTAACCTTTGGCATTTTTTTTTATATAAAGTTGCCGCTCTCAACTCAAGCTCATGTCCTCAAACTTGTCAGTCTATGATTTTACCATCATCAAGCAAGGCGCCCTGTTTCTAGGTCATGATTTTAAAGATCGAACTCAATGAAATGTAGTTTAGGGATTTTTAACCTTTACTGAAGAAGAGATATGAAACTTATCTTGACAAATTCTAGATGGCAATCATGGAATGAAACTATTCTGAACCACAAGTACTTGGTGTCATGTCAAATCACATGAACACAAAACCTTCAAAGATGGGCTAAATCACTTTTCTATAGTTATTTTGAATCTTTTGACAAATTTCTAAAAAACAAAACTAATCTTACAATTTACGATATGATTTACAGTTTAATTCAATTTAATCGTCTCTATGTTTTCTGATAATTATGATTTTCAGAATACTTGCCTTTTCTTTTTTTATATGGAACCTTTTTGTTCCTTTATTGTGGTGTTATTTATAACATGTTCTTTATCATTATTACAGGTATCCCGATGATCCATTTGATAGAATATGGGAGTCTGACTCTCTTAAGAAGGCAAATTACCTTGTTGATGTTGCAGCAGGCACCGAAAAAGTGTCAACACCAATGCCAATTGATGTTAACAGAGGTCAAATGCCACCTCAAAAGGTGATGCAGACGGCTGTAGTTGGTACAAAAGGAGATTTAACTTACCGCTTGAACTTGGATGGCTTTCCAGGTTCTGGATGGGCGTTCTCCTACTTTGCTGAAATTGAAGATTTGAGTCCAAATGAGACAAGAAAATTTAGGCTAGTCCTTCCTGGCATGCCTGAAATCAAGAGACTTTCTGTTAATATTCAAGAAAATGCTCAAGGAAAATATTGCCTGTACGAGCCAGGATTCCCTAACATATCTCTTCCTTTTGTATTATCTTTTCGATTTGTAAAAACAACTGACTCAGCTAGGGGACCCCTCTTGAATGCTATGGAGATAAATAAGTACCTGCGGATCAATGATGGTTCTCTTGATGGTAAGGCATTGCTTTGCCTCTTTACCAAATGGTCATCCTGGTGTATTTGTTCTTTTTGTTAGAAGTACTAATGTAGGCATTTATGGGATAAAGTATCTTTTTTTCTATCTGTTGCAAGAAAATTTCCAATCTTGGCATATTAGACTTCTTAATGGACTGACAGATAATATTCTTTGGCTCAAAATACTGAGTTGATGCTAATGATCTTAGATTTCATGAGTTGCAGGAACAATTATTGCTGGTTTAGTTTTGCATTACCCATCAGTGGATTGGGCACAAGAAGGTGGTGACCCATGCCTGCCAGTTCCATGGTCATGGGTTCAATGTAGCTCAGATCCGCAGCCAAGGATAATTAAAATGTACTTAAAATTCTCCCCTTTAATTCTTTTGAGAGATAAAGAGAACTTGTCTCACCTTGAGAGTTACCTCATGCACATATATGTTTCTCCATTTCTATTCAGAGACTGTTGTAGCCAAAGTAGAAGCTAATGCAATTGTCAATTGATCTTTTTTTTTTTCCATTTCATTTTTGGAACCTCTGCAGATCTTTGTCTAAACATAATTTGACAGGGAAAATTCCTTTGGAGCTGACAAATCTGATAGGCTTAGTTGAACTGTAAGTTCGATAATATATGGTCATTTTTATTGACATGTTTCCCATTCTATTATCAATAACCACTTTTCTTATGATTGTAGGTGGCTTGACTGGAACTTACTCACTGGCTCAATTCCTGATTTCAGTGGGTGCATAAACTTGAAAATCATGTAAAATCCAATGTTTTTCTTTTCTTTCTTTTCTTTTTTGCAATTGTATCTTCCAAAGTTCTCATTTTATGCACATATCTTTGTCTATTGTAGTCATCTTGAGAACAATCAGTTGAGTGGTGAGCTGCCCTCATCTTTGTTGAAGCTACCAAATTTGAGGGAACTGTAAGTATCCTTTTGAGTGACATATATTGTTGATTCACCTTTTTTTTTTGATAGGTAACTGAAACTCTTTATTAGATTTTCATGAAAGAATGGAATATGTTTAACATGATGCATCCCCTTGTTTGGCTAATGCATCAGCCAAGCTGTTGAGGCACCTTTTGTTACCTTCTATGTTTTATATTTGGGAATGTTTCTAATTACATTTAGCATTATTATTTCTATGACTGACTTGATCTACAGTCTTTGTACCCTCAAGGGTTTGCCAGAATACATGTTAAATTGTGGAGATTTAAAGTAAAAGATCTTCCTTGATGACTCTAATGGTTGCAGGTATGTGCAGAACAATATGTTATCTGGAGCAGTCCCATCAAGTCTTGTAAATACAAATAATTTAGTTTTTAAGTGAGTATCATCCTCTGTATCTGTATAATAAAGTGATGCGATGTTTCTGAGATATAAAGTTACAAAAATTAGTGAAAATTTACTGCAGCATAGTCAAATACTCTAGTAACTAGCGTTTATATGAATGATAAGTTGATAACAATTAATGTCAGACATTAAGCTTGAGTATAAATTCTATATCTGCAGTATCTGTTCCATATTCTTGTTATCTCTGTGGCATAGTTTTTGTTGAGTGTTATCAGTTTATGAGAACACAAAATTTGATGAGTGTTGTGTTATGATGAATAATCTATTTTTTTTTATCGTAACTGTTACTTCATTGAATGGAAATATTGTTGTATTTACAAAACATATAGTCTAAAGATGTCATGATGGCCCCTAGGCAACTGCAGCTGTCTAATCCCATAAACCCATTAGAGTAATATAATCCTGTATCCAGTTGGTCACTTCTTTTGTTTTTGTTTTTTTTTTTGATGAATGGTATCCATTGGTCACTTCCAAAAATAGATTTTCCCTGTTGACCCCTTGTTTGGCTAATGTGTTTGCTTCCCGTCTTTTCCGTTGGAAGCATACTCTTAATTCTTTCCTTATCTCTTTTAATAATTGTCGGTATTTTCATGATGAATAATGTCTGTTGTTAGATCCCTGTTTTTGATCTATAGCTTCTACTAGCGGGGAAGGGCAATGGGCAACAAAATGAGATCTCAATGTTGGTTAGTTCTCTTGTAATAGGATTTTATTGTCGGCATTAAATATATTGTAGTCCATTGTGTGGATAACCTAAGAATTTGTTTATCTTCTAATTTTATAAGATTATGGTTTTGGAAGTAAGGCGGGAAAAAGGGGAAAAGAGAAGACAGACAATTTTAGGGTCCAAATTGTGGGTGGTTAGTTGATTTCTTATATTTCATTTCTTTAAATAACACAAAAGAATAAAGTGCTCTCATTATAGTGTAGGCACCATAAAAGGATACCTTAACAATTGCCTAGATGTTTATCATGCTCAGCTTGCTAAGATCTACACTTGGATTTGGTGACTCATCTTCCCAAATGGTAAACGAATCTTTAGGAATGAACCACTTCAATACCGTATAATTACTTTCATATCTCCTCAATCCTTAGGAATTCCTTCAACCTGTGATTTTTTGTAGTAGATTTCCTGTCATAACAATAGCATCCACATATGTTATGAGAGTAGTAATGGACCTCTCTTCTGATAAACAGTGATCAACATGTCTCTGTGTATTTAGTAATTTCTTCAAGTTATAGATTTGAAGGAACTATGTAGTGGCTAGTGATCAGAATCTGTGAGGAGTCAACATTTATGATTCCTCCTTGAGATATCCATAGAAAGCATTTTTAACATCTAATTGGAACAATTGCCAAGACAAATTAGCAACACTTAATGAATGAAATAATTAATGATTCTGCAATCTGCACTTGAACTGTGATCTATAATTTTGACCAGAACCTGCCCTGACTTGAATGGTTTTTGGCACGGAGGCATGGAGATTATGATATTAGTTTAGCTAGATAGACTTCAGTAAGGATAGCTTCTTCTCAGAACTTTGGAATGTGCATGCTAATTAGCAACCGTGTTGCTGTTGTAAGTGGAGATCTTCCTTTCCAAATAACTGTAATGAGTGCCACTATCATTGAATACATATCATAATTTACTTGTTAATGAAAAACCTTGTCTTAATTACTTGAAACATTGATATTGGTTACTGAAATATTTGTAAATGGATTGGTATCTAAGCCCATCTGACTATATCAAAAATGTAATATGAATCGTTTACTGTTAATGTTGATTGTTTTGATTTGCAGTTACTCTGGAAATGTTAATCTTCACACAGAACATACAAGAGGAAGCCACATGAAAATCATTATTGGATCAACAGTTGGGGCCGTTGTGCTACTTATAGCTACTATTATATCTTACTTATTGATGCATAAGGGGAAGAAGAAATATTCTGAGGGAGGTATGTTTAAACATTCCTGAAACTTGTTTGTTCCTTAGTGTTGCGAAATATAGAGGGAGAAAAGAAGAAGATTTTCTTTATTGATGATTCAAAACATATTGAGCATACACCTTAAATAAGAAAAGATAGGAGAGACAAACTCCTAGAATTTCTCTCAATYAGGGATTGACTAWATCTTTCCCTTAATCCTAGGATYTGACTTTCCTAAATTTATTCAAATCTAATATTTCCTAAATTTATTCAAATCTCAAATCATATCTTTCTTAATTTGCCGCAAATCCTGTCTTTCTTAATTTGCCGACACT